CAATGGCGATTCAATTGCCAAGGTGTTCGTAGAGGGCTGTGTATATAATTTTAATGCTATAGCCTTTGTGTATATATTTAAAGATGTGCATCTTTAAGCATGACAGTTGAAATTGTGGCAACACTTTAAAATAAGAGTCCATTTGTAGCATTAAGATTAATGAAAGCTGTGTAAGTATTGTTCCTTGTTAGAGTGTGTTAATTTCAACATTTACTATTACTATTATTATTATTTTTACTACTACTACTAGTATGGTTCAGTACTGTTTTTGTTAATAAAGCACTATTTTAGTTTTTGTTCAGAGTATCAATTTTAAAACAATCGGTTAATTAATCGGTATCGGCCAGTGTGGTCCAACCTAGCTATCGGTATCGGCAAAATCCACTATCGGTCGACCTCTAGTTATGATATGTTTGAACATTATCATGGATGTCGCTGGCTTTATTAACATGGTCCGCTGCACCAGCTGTGTGTAGGTTACAACCTAGTTTTGACACAAAGGGACATTAACTCACAGCTTGCACACTAAATGTTTTGGCGTTAAACCATTAAACCGTTAATTGAAACATAGCTCTACATATAACTAAATATTTACACAGTAACGGTAGGAATAAAATAGCGGATTGATTAAATTTCATCAAAATACTCATTTACCAGACAGCCTTATGATGTTCACTGTTACACTCGTTTATGTTTTAAGTGTGAGTTTACTTTGTTAGTGGCTTATCAACGCAAACCCAGTCTAAAAAGTACGCTTCTGTGTGCTTGTCAAAGAAAACCATAAAATAATAATGCCACTTTCTTTGATGGGTTTTTAATGATCTCTATTGAAATAGTTTCTAAATGTTATTTGCCTATACAGAATGCCTGTACCATTTAATGAGAAAGTATTGCATTTCACTGGAAACTTATTTTTACTGTTATGAGGCAAAACAAGTTGTAGAGTCGAGGATAAACTGAAATTCACTGCGTATCGACACAACTTCTGCTGGTGGATTTGACCAGGAATTACTTTACAAAGCGTTTATTAACAAAGGGTGCAACTGAATAAAGTACAGAGTTACAGAGCCTTCCAGTTTAAGAACTTGTGACCGGCTGGTGCGACCGGACCGTGCTGATCTCGGTCACTACTCTAGAAGGGTCATTATTCAGATAAGCAGCAGACAATCATGTGTTTCCAGCAGCATGGGCTCTAACCGAAGCACTTGGTTTGCTGAGAGTGTGCAGCGCCTCCAGCAGGGCTGTCTGGGTCTGTGTTTGGTGATGAGCTGTCGTCTGTGCAGGTGCTGCAGACTCTGGGAACAGAGACCTATCGGCCCAGCTCGGCCTCTCAGTGTGTGGCTGGCATCGCCTGCGCCGAGATCCCCGTCAATCAGTGGCCCGAGCTCATCCCTCAGCTGGTGGCCAACGTGACGGACCCCAGCAGCACAGAGCACATGAAGGAGTCCACGCTGGAGGCCATCGGATACATCTGCCAGGACATCGTGAGTCCCGTCCAGCACGCACCCGCTGCCCTGTGTTTCCTAGCATCTGTTTGACTGACCTTGCCAACGCTTTGACAGGACCCCGAGCACCTCCAGGACAACGCCAACCAGATCCTGACGGCCATCATCCAGGGCATGAGGAAGGAGGAGCCCAGCAACAACGTCAAGCTCGCCGCCACCAACGCGCTCCTCAACTCGCTGGAGTTCACCAAAGCCAACTTCGACAAGGAGGTACTGCCGCGTCCTCACTTATGATTACACGGCCTCTGCAGTTCAGCCGTTCGATCTCACGCTCGCTCTCTCTCTCTGCAGACGGAGAGACACTTCATCATGCAGGTCGTGTGTGAGGCCACGCAGTGTCCAGACACCAGGGTGCGTCTCATTCCCACACACACGTCTGTCAGGTGCTGCTGCAGTAGACTCGTAACGAGTGTGTGATTGTGTCCTGCTGTAGGTGAGAGTGGCTGCGTTACAGAACCTGGTGAAGATCATGTCCTTGTATTACCAGTACATGGAGACCTACATGGGCCCGGCGCTGTTTGCGGTGAGTTCCCTGATGAGAGTTTCCCTCCTGACCAGCTTGATCTGAGAGTCCCAGGGCTCGTTCTGGTCCAACGTCTGCGACGAGGAGATGGATCTGGCCATTGAAGCCACTGAGGTGATGCCTCCTGGTGTCCTCTCCAGTCTGCTGCTCCGCAAACGCTCTCGTTCCTGATCAGTTGTTGATGTTGTCTGTCCTCAGGCCTCTGAACAGGGCCGTCCTCCAGAGCACACCAGCAAGTTTTACGCTAAAGGAGCTCTGCAGTACCTGGTGCCCATCCTGACACAGACGCTCACCAAACAGGTAAAGCTGGTCTCAGTGGCTGCTGTAGGGTGTCGCACTGTACAGCCCTGTTATCTGATAGAAAACTGCTTCATATTTCACGTTTTCACTGTAACATTTGATAAATCTATGAGCTGATGCTTTTTATTTACAGTACCTGACACTGCTTTTAATAGTTGGCCTCGAGGGCTGCGTTCAGACTGCAGGCAAAAGTGTTTTTTGTTGTTTTTTTTAATGATTCGTAATAGTGAGAACAGCACAAACCACATGCAGTCAGTTTTGTTAGATTCTGATTTGTGAGACCCTGTGTTTCTGTTTCTGAAACCTGAATTAGGGGTGGGCGATATTTTATCGTTTGCAATATACCAGTAAAAATTCTCCCTTGATCTCAGTTGAATCTTTGCGAATCAGTTGTTTGTCTGGAAGTGCCTGCTGTTGTGCCCTCACTGTTGAGTGTGCTGTGTGCAGGATGAGAACGACGACGATGACGACTGGAACCCGTGTAAGGCTGCGGGCGTGTGTCTGATGCTCCTGGCCACGTGCTGCGAGGACGACGTGGTGCCGCATGTGCTGCCCTTCATCAAAGAGCACATCAAGCACCCGGACTGGCGCTACCGCGACGCCTCCGTCATGGCCTTCGGCTCCATCCTGGAGGGCCCCGAGCTCAGCCAGCTCAAGCCGCTGGTCATCCAGGTAAGGGCTGGTGTGTGTGGGGG